TATAGCAAAGATACACATTTTGGAGGCTTCCATGTAAAGCTGAAGCTAATTGTTATTTGGTAGAGCATGAAAGGGAATTCAGAGGTAATTTCCAATTAAGCGAGCTTTTGAAAGCTTGGTGATAAAATCAAAGTCTCACATTGGGAAATTAATAAACTTACTTTTCTGACTAAGGAATATTATAAAATTTTTTTTGAATTTTCTCAAGCAAAGTAAAAACAAGCCAAAGGAAGTTAAAATACTTTCATTTGGAGAGTTGAAATTACCCAACAAAAATGTATGATAAATAACGAAGATTACAAAATCTCCCCAAGCAACTAATTTTGCTGATTTCTTGTCTTTAGTAGTTTAGCTAATTGCTTAACTACTTATTTGTGTTCATCTTAAAAATTAATCTATTTAGTAGAAAAGCAATTTTTACAGGAATAGAGAGAGAAATAGAAATATAGATATTCCATTCTCCAGTTCAGCCCCTCAATGGCTCTGTCACCAGGCATGCCTGGGACACGCTAATGTCAGTTGTTGACTCCATCTGGGTCTCCCATGTTGGTGACAGAAATAAAAATATCTTCTCATCATCCACTGTCTTCTCTGCTGCATGTGTAAGGAGCTGGATGGAAGTGAAGCAGCCAAGACCTAACTGGCACTGTGATATGAGATGCTGGCCTCATAAACAGAGCATTCGCCTAAGCACAACGCCGGTTCTTGTTTTTGTCTCTACAAAGACTATTCTTTAAACAGAATCTTAATTTTCTTAAGATTTCTCTTAAATCTTAAATTTCTCTTAAAAGTAAAGTATAATTGGGAATCAATAAAATTAACTAGTTTCCAGTAATCTAGTTAACTGGTAGATGCATGTCAAATAAAAGCTATACAGCTCAAGTTACAACAAAAGCATTACTGTCAAAAGTGTAACACACGTGCATATTAATGTTTACACATATTCGTTGAAAAAGAAAAAGTTAAATTACCTTTGGCATATCCATATAATAGAAGGTAAAGAATTCAAATGCATGTAAAATATATGTAAACATCTAAGACCATCCTGAGATGTCCTTGTATCATGCTGGATACCTGAGTGAGACATTCATCTCCAGCTCCTAGCTCTGTCTTCCTGCTGCTGGAGACTTTGAGTGGCAATAGTGATGGACCAAAGCAAATATGGGAGGCTGTGTTCAATTCCCACTCCTGACTCTGGCCTGAGCTGGCTTTAATCATCACTGACTTCTAAGGAGTGAGTCAATGGTTATGACTATCTTTTCTCCTCTTAATTTTTAAAAAATGTGTTTATTTTTCAAATTATGTGAAAACATACATATATACATATAAATATTACATACAGGTATTCATTACCAAGCAGATTGTATCATATAAAAGGTACTAAAATGGATTATGAAGCATAATAAAAGCCGTATTTGTGCTTAACAATGATTAAAAAGCAATGTATTGGTGCTGACGTTGTAGCAGAGTAAGCAAAGCTGTCACCTGTGATACCAGCATCCCATAAACGGGTGCTTATTCATGTTCTGAATGTTCTGCTTCCCATCCAGCACTTTGCCAAGGGGCAGATAATGTAGTGGAAGACGGTAAGGTTATTTGGGCTCCCGTCACCCATGTGGGAAACCTGAATGAAATTCCAGGCTTCTGGCTTAAGTCTGACATCTCTCTCTCTCTTCCTCTCTCTCCTCCCCCTCTCTCTTAACTCACACCTTCAAATCTGTGTTAGTAAATTAAGAAAACAACCAAATGACACATAGGTATTCTACATAATATGAGCTCTAAATGGATCAATGATAGAAAGTTTTTGAAAGTGCTTGCTCTTAAAAACTTTTTTCTTAGTTAAAAAAGAAATTTCTATTGCGTTATCGTGGTTAGTATCCTTTCCCAAGAAACAGCCAGCTGATAAGTATTAATAAGGGCGCATAATTTATCAATGTACAATGCAGCCCTCAACATAATTTAGGATACAACAATTTTAGGATAAAATTTAAATGCTTCAGAAGCAAACATTGAAAGTAAATGTTTACATTCAGTAAAATCATCAAATTTATTCAACATTGAACTGATTTTAAGCAGAAACTACTCAAAATAGTATCTTCTAAACATCTCAAGTTTCAGCATGTAATCATACTCATAGTTTCATTTTCAAATATACAAGGATGAACTTCTGTGGTCACTCTTCAGTGCAGCACACTTACACAAGAGTTTTCGCTATCTAATAGTGGCTGTAATTTTCCCTTTCACACATATTTATTTAATATGTAATGTGTGCCACTTAATATAGAAGTAACAAGAACATCAATTCACTGTCGAAGTTCCATGACGAACGCATCATAGCAGAAAACCATTAACTGCTTTCCCAGCAGCACCTGTCATCATTTTACTTTTTATTGTAAGATTTTATTTTGTATTGACACATGACTCTGTTTGGGAGATTCTTTTAAAAAATTATTTTCTTAAGCCTGAGGGACTTAAGGACTTTATCCCCTTTGTTGACTTCATACAAATGGTAGAAGCAAGTAAAGCAAATAGCTCATAGATATTTCAGCCATCTTCAAGACACAATGAAGAAACAAAGCTTAGAGTCAGAAAATCCACAAATGTGTAACAGAAAGGTAGGGGAAATAAATAAATCAATGCTTGAGTATATTTTGATTGGTCAAAGTATCGAACAGTCATGCTGGCATGATTCCAGATTTCTTGTTATTTAGGTAAGCATCCAGCTGTGAAACAGTTTTTTTGAGGATCATATATGCATCCTTACTCATGCAAGTTCATGATGAGCAAAGATACAGTCCAAATCTTCTACATGTGTGGTTCTGTCAAAATGACAGGTAGCAACAACGCTTTAAAATTATATGTCTAATTTTGTATTATTCAATATTTTTAAGAAATATTGATGTGGATGCTTTCTGAAAGCTAATAAACTACAACTGACCAGTAAATTACAAGGAAGTAAATCATTAAACATTACTGCATCTTAATTCCTTACCCTAAGTTATATTTCTAAAATGGACGAAAAAATAAAATCCTAAAGAATTCAGGCATCTCATGGAATTTTGTGTATTTGCATACGTCTTGCATTGTAATACTTGCAGTTCATAAACTCCACGGAGCTGGATTTGCTTTGTAACAATTCTGACCTTATTAAGTTAAACTAATTCACTGAGAGCAATTTCCTTGAGGAAAAAAACACACACACCTTTTGTTTATTAATTCAACATTTAAAAATTGATGACTACAAAAAGCTAAGATCAGGTTCAATTTAAGAATTAAATATCCTGAACTCAACAGCATGAACTATTAAAAGTAGAATGCAATTGGCTGGGTCATGAAGGTTAGTAATCACTGGTGAGAATTAACTCACAATTTGCATGGGTTACCGAGGAATACTTGTTAAAAATGAAGCCAAAAGAAGAACAAGGAGCTATTTCAGAAACATCAAATGGCAAGATGGTTCCAGATAAATGCTTTGCAAGGAGTAAGTATTAATAAAAACAATTTACTTAACAAGAACACCTTCTGGGTCCAGTGCGGTAGCCTAACAGTTAAAACCCTTGCCTTACAGGTTCCTAGTTCCCATACGGATGATGGTCTTAATCCCAGTGGCCCTTCTTCCTATCTGGGTCAATGCTTGTGGCCTGGGAAAGCAGTCAAGGTCGGCCCAAAGTCTTGAGACCCTGTACCTGCACGGGAGACCTAGAAGAGGTTCCATGCTCCTGGCTCCGGACTGGCACAGCTTTGGCCATTGCGGCCACTTAGGGAGTGAATCAATGGGTGGAAGATCTTTGTCTCTCTTCCTCTCTTCCAACAAAAATTAAAAATAAATAAATCTTTAAAAAAAATAAGTGCATCTTCCAACAGGTAAGCCACATATAAAAATACTTACTTTGCATTAGAAAAATTGCAAAATTTCCCATCCATTTAAAAAAATGGGCAGAAGTTTCTCCTTATTGTAAATTTGATTTTTGTAGACTGGGTTAATATTTACAATGAAAAGCTTTTAAATGAAATGCTAGAATTATTCACTTAATTAATAAATATTTTAATTATGGTAATCACAAATACGCTACCTCTCTGCAATATTTGCCAAAGTAAATATGCAAATATAACAGTTAAAGATACCTCTTTTTATGTCTCCAGATTACAAAGGAATAAAGAAATAGGCTGTGTTGTTCTCTTCCTACTGCTGTAAAAATTTGCCACAAACTTAATGGCTTGAACCAAGACACTTTTATTCTCTCACATTTGTGGATGTCAGAAGCACAAAATAAATCTCACAGGACTAACAAAGATGTAGGCACGCCTTCTTCTTTTTGGAGGCAATCGGCTTTTCATGAATGTTCACCTGCCTGTTTCTGGAACCAAAAAGTTTCTTTTAACCTGGTTTCTTTGGAATAAAGACTGAAAAAAAAAAATGAAAACTCACCTGGGTAATAACAGTAACATTTCTGTCTCAAGATATTTAGTCTGCTTTGCCATGTAAGACAAGTGCCTACAGTTTCAAAGAGTAAAGTCGTAGGTAACATGTGAGACAATTCAGTCTTTAACATTGTCTCTTTTGAAGGATGCTATTGTACTTGCAAGTTTTGACCAGCTAATCTCATAAAGGATGGCATTAACAGCCAAAGAATAATAAGTATGTTGATACTAAAGAAGTGTTTCATACATGAATTTTTTTTATCAGCACTGTAAGTTGTTAATGAGATGTATCTCTGGGAGTTTTCTCAGCATATTCTCAATTTTATGTATGTTGCAAAACGAAATTCTCTATGAAATTAAGTTAAATTGTTACAAAGGGACTTTAAAGACTTCGAAATGTTTGTTGTCTATTCAGCAAATTATTCTTAAATGTATTCCCATCAATTGAATGATAAGTAAAATGAAGTTATGCTCTCAGACACATCTCTGATTTTTTTTTAAAAAATTCACAAATAAAACATTGGACTTAATAGATATTGGGATATGACATTGAAGAACAGAGAAAGTAAGAAACTCACCTTAAATAATAGGTCTTTCTTCCCATAACGGAGCTCTTTCAGCTGGGCTTGGATTTTTTTGGACTGCAAGAGTAGAAACAAGGACTAGCATCTTAGTTTGTTTCAAACTGGGAGATTCAAATTCTTTCATATGACAAGAAATAAAATATGCTGCCAAACAGCACAGTCTCCCACTACTTTGGAAGAGAAACAGAAAAGCTTAAGCTCTCCTTTGGGAGTCAGACTTCCACATCTCCTGGACATAAAAGAAAATTCTATTCCAAAAAGTCATTTTGTTAAAATGTTGTTATTTAAAAAAAAAAAAGTGTTCTAGTTTTTCCAAACTCCCCATATAAGCACAGGAATTTCTGACAATAATATATTTTAGATGCTGAAATATATACTTAATAGTATATAAAACATACTTACATCAATATTGTACATATACATGTTATCACATTTTTATGAATTATATTAATGATTTTTACTCTATATAAATTTAAAACAGCAGCCGTGATTGAATTCTCCATCTGTCCAGGAGGGATGGCACTAAGCCAAAATCGCAAAAAGGTAATGAAAATTGCTAGAGTTTAGATACTGTGGTGAATGGTATTTACATATTTAAGGGAGGATTATTTAGGAGAGCTATTTCAGGAAAGAAGTGCTCAAAGAAGTCTCTCAGACATTTGGTGATGATTTTGAATTATGTCCTAATAGAAAATAATGATTGTGCATCTCTAAATTTCTAGATAGATATGATTTTCATTTGACTAACTTGGGTCTCAATATTTAATGTTCTTATTAGTAATTTCATTTAAAAATCTTAAATCATTGGTCCTGATAGTTTACTCAGATGACAAAACAGAATGGATTTTCATAGTCACACAAAGATGGAAGCCTAAAATGGTCTAGTAATTTTGAAATATTGTTTAGTAGTTCTTATGCAGTTGAACATACACACTGCTTTACAGGTATTTACCTAAGAAGTTATAACACACTTTAAATTGTTTACATCATTTTTATTCAAAATAACCAAAATCTAAGAATAATTGGCAGGATATTAACTGTTAAAAAGTTAAGGAACTAACGTATAACATGAAATGGAATTGGAGTAGTTTTGAGCAATTTGAAGAAAAGTAATACAGTCCTAAAGAAAAAAATCTAAAAAACAGGAAGGCATAGAAAGGGATTTCAGAAGTATTTTGACAAGGTAAAAAAAAACAATTGACTTCTTGGTATAATTCTGTTTATCTGATTTTTAAAAATAGAATGATTAGGGGCACAACTCAAATTGTTAGTTAACATGAACTAAGGTTGTGGGTTGAAAATTGTTGTGTAAAAAGCACAAAACACCATTACAGATGAAAGGAAGTTCTATATAGTATATATGGATGCCGATCCCATCAAACATTACATTTAAAATATATTTTATTATATGTAAATAATATCTCAGATGAAGTTCATCCAGTTTCTTATCTTACTATAATTTTTGTACTACTTTATCTGAAGGGAGAATATTGTTCTATTTGCTATTACATTTGTTGTGAAGCCATAATTCTAAAAATCACACCCTGATGCTGTGAACACCAATGATCCCAGTGGAAACTTGAAAGTATGCTGAATGGTACACCACTGTAACCTTTTCAGATTGGTAACACACCTTTCCATAGACACCTAGACATCGCTGAAGTGAGCAAAACAAAAATGAACCAAATTAGAAGAAAGGAACAAGGAGAGATGGGAGAGGCAAAGGTGAAGAGCACAAGAAAGTAGAAAAAATAGCATAGGACTTTGACAGAACAAATCTGTAAGGTGGAATTGGATTGGTTGCTAAAGAAACAGGAGGAATTTATTTCTTACACAGTTGTTAATATAGTTTCCATGGCAGTAATCCCAGTTCCCTTGATAGCAAAAGTTAAGTGTCAATGTGACTAGGAATGTAAACAACAATCATTGTGAATAGTTTGGTTAACTTTACTGAACAATAAAAGTTCACACTTGAATAATCAGTCCATTGAATTTCTAGCTGTAATTTTATTAAATATTTTATCATCTTTGGTTATATTCTTAATAATTTGATCAGCACCATACAATTTCCCAAATAACTCAAAATAAAGCTGTTTCATATAAAGCACTTACATGTTTTTTATGTTTCTAAGACAACCATTAGTGTTTTCAATAAAAGACAATTCTTTTATTTTTTCATAATTTCAAATGAAAACATTATCATTTTCCCCCTTCTCTGTCGGTATGCTGTCCAGAATGAATTGTCTTTAAGGACAACAGATGACTATTTCTTGTCTTTGTATCTTTTCTTTTCTCCTTCTTTTTTTTTTTTTTTCTTGTCGAGTCAATGCTGGTGAATATTAGTAGGGAATATTTTGCTACTGCATATGTTGCACATTGCTTTCTGGATTCTAATTATATCTTGTATAATTTGTGACCTATCTTTCAAGGATCAAAGAGACCTTACCTTTTGAGGGCACGCGTGTGTAGAATGTAATTAAAATTTATTTTATAGCTTGAAATCATTATTAAAACTTCAATCATTGCATTACTCACTGATTCATTTGAAAAATACTCAGTGTTCATAAACATCATCATGCTGCCTGTTTTCCTTTAATATATCAGCAGTATTTTGCAAGTTAGCATAATGAAAGGAATAATTTACTAATTTAGATAAGACTCAATTGAGAATATTTGTAGTTTCTTTGTCATATACAGACATTAGAATAAAATTTAAAAGTCAATTTACTTGAGCCATAATACTTTCACCAATCTATCATAAATTTAAATTTCAAATGATAAAGTTAAGAAAATGTGAAAGGTGAAAAAGATGAGGACAAAGGTAGCCATAATAGAGAATATTTTAGCTAGCTTTACTCAACCCAACTAGGAGATTTTAATTTAACCTGAGAACTTTCTTCCCTAAATATTTGGGAGGGGGGGCAAATAGTAATACTTTCATGAAATAATAGAGACAGTAATTGTTGATAGTAACTGGTAATCTACTAAATGTCAATAAAATATTTTAGTTCTTTATAGACACTAAAAGCCCAGGCTCCTCGATCTAAGAAAAATGAGTTCCTTTTAAGCTTCTACACCGGTAAAAATCATTATTATTTTGGCTTTTGGTAGTCATGGTGAATGAATTTATTAAACTTCCAAACATTACTCTGAAATCTATTCATAAAGGCAAAAATATGACTGCTCCATTACTCCAAATGAGAAGCTATAAATTTACTTTGCAAATCAATAATTATAGGATAAATTTATGAATTGCAATGCACCTATTAGCATTTAACACATGAAAATCATATATTACTTTTTTATCAATGCATAAGTAAGATTATAGAATAATCATATTATCCTATGAATTGACATGAAAAAATGTGAATACTTTTTATGACTTTAGGAAGCCATGAAAGTAAATACATTTTTTCTCTCATGACAGTGTACTTCAGCAGCCTACTTTCTTTCTTGCTCATTTCTTTTCATCACGAGCATTGTGAGAACCCTGGAAACATGATGACTACCTCAGAATGCAGCTTCTGTCTAGATATCATTCAAGCAAACTTTATTTCAGGGGTTATCATCCATTAAGTGATATTCAGAACTTGCACAAGTCACATTTGTATTATTTCTATAACCTAGCAAATATGAATCACATATAATTTATCTCTGCACAAATGGAAACAAAATGGAGTAAAGGAATACAATGTCTGATCCACAAATATGCTGTCTGGTATTTTATCCTGTGTTGCATAAAACCTCAGATTCTAATGTGTTGACTTACAGGACTAAACTAACTTAATTGTGCTTTCCTCCACCCTCCAGTAAATAGTCATTATGGCATTATCACTACTTTTCCAATACTAGTATCAGAAGTCAGAAGTCATGAGCTATATGCCTACCTTAAACTCAGGCTCATGAAAATATACATTTATTATAGAAATGTATTATGTTAGTTAAGCATGACCTAACCAGAAGGACTCATTTTTACTAAGAAAGACATAATATGAATTTGTAATATAGCAAGTGTAAGAAATAAAGTTGTCTTATAAGGTTTATGGTCAATCTCTGAATTTTTATTTCTAGCAGTCACTGTCACTTTAAACCTGGTAGAATAGCTTACGTTCAAATCTATGGTAAAAAATAAAAAGAGAAAAATATGAATGAACTTTAAGGCATTTGGAAATCCTGATATTACAATTAAGGAAGCAATTCAGATAACCTTTTCATTAATATTCCAAATTCATTGTATTGTCTTACTCAAGTTTGCATTTGTTCTAAGAAAAAAATATGACTACATATCTGTGCTTTAACAACCTGATAATATGGCTTTTAGTCACTTGAAACTGGAAAATTTACTCACCTCTTCTGCATGAATGCCACACAGCTTGTTTCCTGACAATAGTTTATTTTTCAAGCTTTTATTCTGAGGAGAGAAACAAATTTTTACAGCTAAGAAGTGATAAACATTAAGAACACTTTTGATTATGTGAGCATCGCAGTTGTTCTGATCAAAAATTTGACCTTCATCATTGACCTGTACAAAACTGAGCTAAATCCACAATGTACAATAATGTTCGTTTAACTCATTTAAAATTTTTGAAGGATTGGCATTAACCTTTTCATTAAAAAATGAAACTACCTGATAGTTTTTATTTGACTGTTTCTTTTCTTTATGCAGATGGCATCATAAAATAATGCAAATTTCCAATTAGAAATAGATGGCAGTTTCTAAAAGCAACTCTCTTAAGCTACAGGCATTTATTGCTAGTATCATCCAAATAATGGTCATGGTCTTTCCTTTGATCACACACCCCGGTACTCCTCAGAGGCTCAGGATTCTTTGAATGTTTTGGCTTTAGAGTACTCTTAAATTCCAAAGGCCTGAGTTTTATACTTAAAGGGTTCCTTGATGCTCAAAAGCATTTTATTTATTTACTTTTCCTGCAAGGGCACAAAGCTGTGCTCTTTCTGTTGAATGTGGGTACAGACAGTTGTACCAACTATCTAAATAGGTTGCAACTGACTAATACTCAAAGACAAAGGTGTATGCCTTTGGCACCTCATAACCCCTTAAGTCCAAACTCTCACAGGTAGTTAGTTATATTAGCTTCATCATACCCATTAGTTTCCTTCAATAATCCAAGAATAAAAATTCCATGTAGATGAGAAATCTAATGGACACCTGTTAATTTTGTAAAGCATACCAAATTTAAAGTTGATACTGGCTCTACAGGAGTAAATAATGCAATAGCAAAGTACATCTTATCTGCAGTGACCCTAAAGAAAGCCAATCTGATGCACCAAAAATGAAATGAAGTATATTTAATGAGAAGAGGGTTATAAAATTAACAAACGAATATATAAAATTGAGAGTTCTCTGTTTACAATTCCCCTCTGATCTGAACATCATCATTTCCCATGCTGTCTTTTTTTTTTTTTTATTACAGTCACAGTTTGAAAGAATTCTTGGTCTACATTTTCTTTTTTAGTTGAGAGTTGATGTTGAAATTCTAGAATGTTCAATTAGAATGTCAGTGTCATTTACTATTTTAATCAGTTGGGAAGATTGCTTGATTCACTCAACAAATGACATTTTGAAAATATTTGCAATCTTCACAGAAAGAACAATATCATGTTTAAGAATTTAATCTGTTATTTCTAACTTCAAGTCAACTGTGTTGCAATAAGAGGATACACACTAACATGACCTAAGAGTGTTGTGTTGTAAAAATAGTAATTAAAACAAGATGAGTGAGGTAGACATAATAAGATTTATATTGTAATACAGACTTTACATCTGACTAAAATGTACATTTATTGCATTTATTACTTTCTGAAAAGGAAAGTGACTATATAAGATTGTTTTTTAAAGATTTGTTTATTCTTTATTGAAGGGCAGAGTTTCAGAGAGAAGGAAAAACAGAGATCTTCCAGCTGACGGTTCACTTCCCAAAAGGCTGCAATAGCCAGAACGAAGACAATACAAAACCAGTGACCAAGGGCTTCTCTGGGGTCTATCTCACAAGGGCAGAGCCAAAGGACTAAAGTCATTCTCTGCTGCTTTCTCAGCCCCTAAGCAAGGAGTTGGATTGAAAGTGGAGCACCCAGGCTTTAAATGGCACTACAGTCAAAGGATTAGCCTACACACTGATCCTGGCCCCTAACGTTAACAATCTCTACTCCACCCCCAAAGGAAAAGAAACATGAGATGTGCTGGTTATATAGGTTTACAATGTAAAATAAGTTCATTATCTGCAAGTTTCTCAGAATATTTCTTCTGATAGTGTGGATGATATTATTTTCTCAAATTTGTTTAGCAATAGAATGTTTCTGACAATCTAGTTATATGAGATATAAAACTACAAGCAGTAATGGCATTGAAAGAATTGTAATTATATTAAGAGAAAATTACTTTCATCAAACTAAGAAGCTTCAGTACAGCAAGGGAAACAATCAATAAAGTAAAAAAGCAACCCACAGAGTGGGAGAAGATCTTTGCACATTATATAGGCGATAGGGGGCTAATTTCCAGGATATACAAAGAACTTCAAAACAACCAAAAAACCAAAACAAACAAGCCACTCAAGAAATGGGCACGGGAAATGGGCAAACATTTCACAAAGGAACAAGTCCAAATGGCAAACAAACATATGAAAAAATGTTCCAGCTCCCTGGCAATAAGGGAAATCCAAATTAAAACATCGATGAGGTACCACCTAACACCAGTAAGATTGGCCCACATAAACAAGAACACCAACGACGCTTGCTGGCGAGGATGCGGGGAAAAGGGAACCCTACTCCACTGCTGGTGGAGCTGCAAATTGGTGCAGCCATTACAGAAATCAGTCTGGAGAACACTCAAACAACTCAAAATCTGCATACCATATGACCCAGCAATAGCACTCCTAGGAATATATCCAAAACACCTGTTTTACGACAAACCAACATGCATCCCTATGTTCATAGCAGCACAATCAGTAATTGCAAAAACATGGAAGCAACCGAAATGCCCATCAGCAGAAGATTGGATAAGAAAGCTTTGGTTCATCTACTCCATGGAATACTACTCAGCTATTAAAAAAAACAAAATGCAGTTCTTTGTGGCTAAATGGGCCCAGCTGGAAACTATAATGCTAAGGGAAATGAGCGAATCCCAAAAGGTTAGATACCACATGTTTGCCTTGATTTAACTTGTAATTTTTGTTTGGTTGTTGGTTATTTTTTGAACCTGTCATTGATACTGTCTCAACCCAGATGTTTTGAAGAATGGAACTTGCATTATTTTTAACATATTGTTTACCCAATACTATGTCAATTAATTCCATAATGTTGTATATTGATACTGAGGTTTTATTGGGGCTTTTAACTGACCGGACCTTTACTCTGTTAGCCCTATCTTCAGACAATAGAAAAGGTCTCCCCAAGAGGCCACTGAACTTATCTGGACAATAAGACGCTGGACTTTATGCTAGGTATATGCTTGCAATGAAGGAATCTCAACTGAACTTGAACGATGGTTATGCATCAAGGTGGAGGAATCCACCATGGGGGAGGGGTATGGGAGGGGCGGGGGGAATCCCCAGTGCCTATAAAACTGTATCACATAATACAATGTTAATAACAATAAAAAAAGAGAAAATTACTTTGATGAATACTAACAGAATAAGGAACACTTTATATGCTTCCTAATGGATGTCAAGATTATCACAACAATGTAAAAAATGGGACTCAACTTTGAGTACAAAGAAATTGTGGAATTATAGATTTCTAGTCAAGAAGCTGTATTAGAGTGCCAATGAATAGATAATAAAAAAAATATAGGAGATAACAAGAGAGGGATTCTTGCTACAGTAACTGAATGGGATTCTTCCTCAGGGCTACACAGTAACTGTGGAAGATGAGGAACTGGATTGAATTTAGATAGCAATGATGAGGCCATTTTTCCTACATTGATTTAGAATGATGCTTGCTATAATTAGAACATGTTGGTCAAACACTAGGCCAAAAAACCACCTTCATTAGAAGTTGACCCAGAATGTTTGTTCATTAAATAACTGTCATCAATGTTTTTTTTTTCCCCCCTCAGCTACGCATTCTTGGCTTCATTGCAAAGTGTACATGTTTCTTAAAGATTTTAATTTTTTATGTTAATCTGTTTTTTCTCGATATTAAGTGAAGTAGAGACCAAAGTTCACATTTTGTTTCTAAAACAAACATCCAGATATTTAGTACACCAATGATTAGAAAAGACAGCTATGTCTACTGAAATATCAGATCAAACAAATTTCTTTTCAAAACTGAAATGAATAAATAACACATTTGGCCATTATGTGACACTAAGAACCAGACCAATACTTTTGGTATAAATAGTTATACATCTAGACAAAAATCTATAAAACAAATGTTTCAGGAATTAGACAACAACCACTGTCCGGCCTGGCACAATAGCCTTGTGGCTAAATCCTCCCTGTGCATGCACCACGATCCCATATGGGCATTGGTTCGAGTCCCAGTTGCTCCACTCTCCATCTTGCTCCCTGCATGTGGCCTGGGAGAGCAGTGGAGTAATACCCAAAGTCTTGGGACCCCACACCTATGTGGGAGATTCAGAAGAGACTCCTGGGTCTGGATGTGATCAAGTCAGCTCTGGCTGTTGAGGCCACTTGTGAAGTGAACCAGTGAACAAAACATCTTTATTTCTGCCTGTTTTTCTTTCTGTAAACCTGATTTTCCAATAAAAAGAAATATTTTTTTTTAAAAATACACTGCCAGGACATGACTAAAAATCAATAAAAAGAGAAAAGAAGGCACTTACTACAGTTGCTATTATTTTTTACATAATCATGTAAAGGATCTTCAAAAGAAAATGCACAGTGATAAATCACACAATGCACATACAAACTTAGTATCAAGACAAACATCTAAGGTATTGAGTAAAGATCCCAGAAATCACTAATTTAAACATAGAACCAAAATATTCCTACCATAAATGAGGGAGCCCAGGACTAAAAGCAACCCGGAAGAGTGCCATCCCACAATCCCTTACCAGCATGTAAGCTGCTGTTTCTTACCAGTCCACTAAGCAGAACAGGATGGAAAATCCTGGTAACAAATACTCACCCATGAGCAAGAATGAAATTTTGACAGACACAGTTTTTGAAAGGGCACCAATAAGATTGCCCCCTGCTAGCTGATGTATACTTCATAACTTGCTTCTGGGAGATGACGTGCTGAAAATTCACAAATTATGCCTAGATTTAAGATCTCAGCAGCTAGATCAGAGCTTATCTCCTCTGACTGAAATAAAATTTCACTTCTGCTCTAATTCTTGTGTCCTAGACTCCTCTCACCAGTTTTCCTATAGCATAAAGACTCCTCTAGAACACCTTTGCAAAGTTTAAAAATCTAGATTCAAAGGAACCA